AGGACGCGGTCTTTGCACGCGTTCAGGATTTGCGCTTGTCTTTACAGTAGGGTTTGCCTGTCCTTGACCAGCGCTTAATCCTACCGTGTTCTCTCCACTACAATAACAAAAACTCCGGACAAACCCTCTATTCATCTCGCTTATATTCAGCACGCAGTGTAAAGGCGTTGGACAATGAGTCGCCGACCCCACCCTCTTTTTACCCTGCTCAAAACTCGTTGGATTTGCACTGCGCTGTACAGTAGTATCAGTAGTGCATGTGTAATGATCAGTTTAGCTATTTTTATCTGCCGGTAGTATCAGATGTTAATGTTAATAATGACAATTTGTCATTATTTACCCCTGGTAGTATGATGGACCAACCCATTGACAGCTCAAACGTGTGTCGCATATATACGGCCTTGTGTAGTACGAATCGATGGACCACTCCTCTAAACACACAAGTCTAAGATCTATCCTGGCATATACAAGTAGTTATTATTAGTAGTGGTATACTATAATTATGACGTGCAATGCACCAACCATCTACCCACGCGTATTTCATACACCCGCCACAAGGAAAAATGAGGAAAAGGAGTACCCGCTCCCCGTTATAGCATGAATAGAATATATATATATATATATATATATATCGTTGCGGAAGTAATCATAACTGCACCCTCTACATAGTTTATATAACCACGCGTGTTGTGTACAGCAGTATGTTATGTGTGCGGTGGAGCCGTGGCTGTAAAACGGGGGATGTGATGGCGATGGTCCGTGCACGAATGTCGCGCATGCGTGTTCAATGAATAGACACGCGCGTGTCGGCCATCTTAATTTGGCAGCTAATGATAATGATGACTACCCCCTCTCCCCAGCCTCCCGCGACGCTATAGGGAGCACAGTAATGTAGTGGTGTCTTTATGACGCAACAACGAATGACCCCCCCCCCCTCCAGATCGACCAGTCACGCGGGCGGGTTGCGTCATTTCGGATTATCTATAAACTACGCTTCCCTTTGCGCGTTTCAGTTTGTCACACGCTCGAAGCGGTGAACCCGCGCGAGTTATTACACGCTCGTGGCGTGTGATTCAAAGTCATGATTAGATGAAGCGATCCTTCTATTCGCGAATTTATTATAATTAGGGTAACATTTCCACTTTACAATGCCAATCTCTCTTGCCAATCTTCTACAGTATGTATATCCCTTCCCTTCCTTACGCCTTTCCCTTCTTCTTCCTCCTTTCCCTCCCTTCCCTTTTCCCGTCTCTCCTTCCGCTCCCTCCATTTCGCTTCCTCCGCCTCCTCCATTCCTCGGCCTCCGTCTCCTCTTTCCTACTTCCTCAGCCTCATCTTCCCTCCCTCCGCCATTCATCCCCGGATTTTGAAAAAGCATTGGAAGATATGAGAGAGTGGTACAGGAGGGACG